GCCACTTGAGTGAAAGTCTCATTATAATATATCCAAACCTTCTGATTGTTACCTAAAATCACCAATCTAGCCTTGTGTCTTTCGATCATTCCATCTGAGTTATACTTGGTCTTGTACACCCATTTACACTCGATCGCTTGCTTCCCAGGGGGGCAACGGTTTAAGAGTCCAGGTGCCATTACGCTCAAGAGCTTCAATTTCCTCCTTCATTGCTTGTTTCCAATGTGGCTCACGAATTGCTTCTGAAAAATATGTGGGATCTTTTCCTACAGTTATAGCTGCCAAGAACTATCTATGTCACAAAGAAAAATTAGTACAAGTCACATAACATGTAATAGGATAAGACACACCTGAGGAGTGGCATGATCAGTGAGGGGGTCGTTGATGCGCTGCGTTGTGTGGCATATATAGTCCTTCAGCTTCTCAAGAGGACGTCTTTGCCTACATCCTCGGCCAAGGTTTTCACCTTCACTGTTACTTTCCAAGTTCACGTCGCCCTCTCTCTATTCATTAAGAGCCTCACCACTCCCCCTTGCTTCCGGAGTCAAGTCTTCTTCAGAAGTTGGTTCATCATTCGAAGTATCTGCACTATCCAGCTCATGATCATCAAAGCATTGCACATCATCATTACAAATAGATGGTTGCTCGATCACATCGGTGCGGAGTGATTCAGAGATAGCAACCTTATAAGGAAAAATATGTTCAGAGAATACAACATCACGAGATACAAAGAACTCATTTGTATCTAAATCATAAGGTCTCCATCCTTTCTTGCCGAAAGGGTACCCTACAAATATGCACCTTCGATTTCGAGAACCAAACTTGTCTTTGTCACACCTTTCCATCAAGTAAAGGACTTGGAGTATGGTTAATCAGATATACTGCAGTCAACACACATTCACCCCAAAAACTCACCGGTAAATTTGCCTGAAAACGCAAAGCACGCGCAACATTCAAGATATGGCGATACTTGCGTTCCACCCTGCCATTTTGCTGAGGTGTCCCAACACATGATGTTTGGTGAATAATGCCATGAATATCACAATAATTACTCAAGGCTACAAATTCCGACCCATTATCACTCCTTATTACCTGAACCTTACTATCAAATTGGGTCATTACCATGGCACAAAATTTCACAATGTTAGCACTAACTTCACTCTTTTCTGCCATCAAATAAATCCACACTGCCTGTGAGTAATGAATCAAGGCAAAAGGTGCAGAAGCTTTATTATGGCTCAAAGGAAACGCATTACGGGTTTGTTTAGCTCTTAAACAAATATCGCATAACTCACTAGCAATTTTATTTTTAATAGTAGGAAGTAGACTAACAATTCGTTTTGAGGGGTGTCCCATTCGCCTGTGCCACAGTTCATATGAGTCCATATTCGCTAGCCTGCATGCACCAGTCCTTGCCACACAGCGCCAAAGATAGACCCCATCACACTTCTCGCCCACACCAATCACTGTCCTCGAAGTGGGGTCCTGCATTACACATATTTTGTCAGAAAACGTGACTGTACATTTTAATTCATCAATAAATTGAGACACAAATATCAAATTGCGACTCAAGTTGGGAACATATAAAACATGTTTTAAGATCAATCCTTTCCCAAGCTGCACTTCTTCTTGCAACGCCATCATAGTCTTTCCATAAAGAAGTCCAACGGCACAAGGAGGGATTTCATGCATATTCTTCAATAGCTCCAAATTCCCGGTCATATTGTGAGAGCATCCCGAATCTATCAACCACATTTTCTTACCCGTCAATTTCTCTGAAAAGGGTTCCTTGTGTGAATTGATCATCGCCATTAGCATTGCCCACTGTTCATCATTAAGTCCGGGAAAACCAGATTTATCGCTGGTTCGGACAGCCACAGCAGTGGTATTGACGCCGCAGCTTCCTTGTGTCTGGACAGCATTGGCAACTGCTGTACCAGACCCTCCTCGACCCCTTCCGGTTCCCGTGCCTCGACCTCCTCGTCCCCCACGACCACCAGAGCGACCTCCTTTGCTTGCAAACCACCAATCTGGATAGCCTACAAGCTGAAAACATTCGAGCACCTCATGTCCAATCTTTCCATAGTGAGAGCACATCTTTTCATCCTTGTTCGTGGCTTTGGTTCTATTTCCAGTTTGGACAGCAAATCCCACAGCCTCTCCTCGTTCTTCACGTGCTCGAGCCACCGTTTTGTGTCGTTTCTCTTGCACAATTATTGCATATATTCGATTCAATGAAGGTAAAAGATTTGTACTTAAAATATTTGACCTAACAATGCCATAAACTGCACTATCAAGGCCCATGAGAAATTGATGAATTTTCTCCTTTTCCCGCTCCAACGCTAGCTTGGTCGCCGCTCCACACTTGCATCCACTACACGTGCATTGTGGGTTCTTCACATACCCAGCCAACTCCTCCCACATGGTCTTCATCTTCCCATAATATGCGGATACGGTCATGCCTTCTTGTTTGCAATTGGCCAAGTCACTCTTTAATTGGTGAATTCGTAGATCATTCCCAATGGCGAACCGTTCCCGAAAATCCTCCCAAAGTTCCTTTGTTGTCTCCATATAGAAGATCGTAGACCGAAGTCCATGTTCTATGGTAATGAATATCCATGCTACTAACATGGAATTCACACTATACCAATCTTCTAATTTGCTGGAATCATCACCAGGTTTCGTCACATTGCTTTCAAGAAAAACTAATTTCTTCTTTGCCCAGAACACGTTCTTCATGGCTTTGGCCCATTCATCATAGTTATCGCCTTTCAAAATAATAGGTGTCACGACAAGCTGGGGTTGTCCTGCGAACCAAGATAGTAAGGAGATTTTGAATCAGCCATAGTGTAAGTATGGCTCTGATACCACAAAGAATAATTGCAAGGATTGTCGTCCAAAAGAATGGTTATTCTCTGCCTTTCAATGGAGCAAACTGCCCATATATATACAAATACATCAAGAATAAAAATAGCAAGAATAAAAATTAGCAAGACTAAAAATTAGCAACTTCCTAAAACTCTAGCTTCCTAAAAGTTTATATGCACAAAATTAGCAACTTCCTAAAAGTCCATATGCACAAAATCTTTCTAAATATCTTACAATATCTCTATTAGAAGAAGAAGAGAGAGAGAGAGAGAGACAAAGAAATTTCCGGTGCCGGTGCCGCCATGGGTTCAGATCCGCCCAATTGCCAAAATCACCAATGCCAAAATCTCAAACTGGTTGTTTGACGGAGAGCATTGGCGCCAGCAAGAGAAAACAGTTAAAACAAAGAGGAAGAAAGAGATGGTAGTTTTACATCCTTAATTTTGATGTATATTTTACATCGATTATTGATGTAAAAAATTTCAAAAATGAATTTTATACCGATATATGATTTAAAATTACACACTTTCCAAACATGTGTAAAATTAAACTGGGGTGTAAAATTTACCCCGATTCAATTTTCCACCTCAAACAAACGTGACCTTACATAAAAACATTAGACATTACATAGTCAAAAAGATGAAAACATTGTTTCCATTGCAAACGAGGTTTTCTCCAAAAGTTGATCTCATAGAATTCAAAGCATTCAGTGTTGCTTCAAATGGCTCCAATCGTCACCTTAGAAATGACTCCAATACCAAATACTGCCAAAGACATTCAACTTTTCTCTTTTTGGGTCCAAATCCAATTAGTGATGAACAAATTGGGAGATACTCGATTAGAGTGCACTAATCAGATCATCACTGCAATAGTAGGATGATATATAGATAGCTTGACAAAGAATATGAAGAGTTATCTATCAAGATCCATAATAGAAGTATAGAAGATGTCTCTGAGAATTGCTGGGTCAAATTCAATTCATTGAGAGAAGGGTATATATAGAATAGATGTGACTTACATCATTCATATTGAACACTTTGATTCTAAGGTAGGCCTAGCCAAGTGTTTGGAGAAGCCCTTAAGGGTTCTTTTACACACATTGGATGGGCAAAATATAAGTTGGTCAGTAGTTAGGAAGCATTAGAATACTGGCCAAATCCAATCCCCATCCCACCAAAAGAAAAAAAAAAAAAAGTAATATACATACACTAAAAACGAGAGGGTCCAAGTTTGAAAATGGTATATGCATGACTTTTTTTTCTCTATTTTTTAAACTATTAGGATGAAAATGATACATAATTTGGGATTGGTTTACAAGTCAAAGTCTAATTAGATCAATAATGTAACTGGGGTTTTGTATTGATGCACCCAAATATGCTACATTGACATATAGGTTTTATTAAACATTTCCAGACACTATCTCAATTCTCTAGTGGTTTTATTAAACATTTCAAGACACTAGCAAACCATACGGTCCAATCAAATTGTACACTGAATCTAATGATTTTGAGATAAAAGATTCTTCTTCTTCTTCCTTTTATTACTAAACTATCATGCTGGAATGGTTGATTCTATTTGAGCATGGGAAAAAGGGGGTATTCCAATCCAATCTGATAAGAATTCAAGCAATCCATATGCAAATTGCAAAACATAAATTCAAGTTCAATTCGTTTATGTCTAAATATTCCAATCAAATTTCATTCAAAGCAGAGAACAAGAAGAGATCGACACTTGCCTCTAAGAAGCAAGAAATGGTCTCTAGCAATAACCCCATCTCTTTACTTTTTGTCATACGGATGGACTGGTTTTTCTTTCACCCAGCCAAATGTTGCGAGCCCAGCCCATCCGTAATGGATTTATATTGGATTGAAGCAAATATGGTCTATTGATAGAAGATAGGAATACAGGTGTCAATAGATCAGATTCGTGATAGAAGTTAAAAACAATCCAAATTGAAACCAATTTGAACAGATTACCATTCATGGAATTGAATTGTACCCGGTCCATCTATAATGGATTATGGATTCATATTAAACTGAATAGGATTACATCAAATCCGGTCCAATTGACACATTATAAAACCGGATATATCCAGACTTCTGTGTTTTTGGTTAGTAGATCTGAACCCAATGTTAGAATCGAACCAAAGCACCAAACCATAAGGTTTTCATATCTTATTCCTTCGATATCGATTCAAATTCTGAAGCACTCGACTATTGAATTTTGAAGAATATATGCTTATCATCAGTCTAAATTTTATGCTGTCATATCATGTCTTTCTTTTATTTACAAGGACGAAAATGAAACCCCATCCAAGAGCTGGTTACCCTCTAATACAGTAGAGTTCTCCCTTACTCCAAGAATCTAGTTAAAACCACAAAAAATCAGGAAAACCCAGATGAAGCAATCGTTGCTCGTCATACTCGTATAGCCCATACCCGTCATCTCCCTCCAGTTCAATGGGATTCAGCAGCTGATACGATAAATCCAATGGACTACCACACAGCAATTGATCAGAGCCACCTAATTGATCGTACTCATTCTTCATTCTTGGCTCCTCCATATCAAACAGTTCTTCCAATGAAAAGCTCTGCACATCATCAAAACGATTGCATCCACTCTCACTGAACTGAGTCAAGTGACCAGAATCTATTGGTCCTTGGGTGATGCCGTACCCTCTGAACTGATCAGGATTCATCGGTTCCACAGACTCTTCCTTCGGCTCTTGCTTAACTATATTCATTGGTGCTGGCGCAACTGCTTCCATGTAAATCTCCGACTCACACTGCTCTGGCCTAGGTTCTACCTTTGGGAGATTCACCTTCAATTCCTCGGCTAAGCAAACTTCAGAATAGCTGGATGAAGTGGTAGCTGAGTATGAAGATTCCATCGATGCAGAGCTTTCAGGAAAGTTGAGACGTGCATAACGACCATACATGGCTTTGGCAGCCTTATCGTAAGCAAGAGCAGCTTCGAGAGCGGTGGAGAAGGTCCCCAGCCAAAGCCGGCTTCCTCTGTTCGGTTCTCGAATCTCGGCGACCCACTTTCCCCATGTCCTCTGCCTGACGCCTCTGTAATTACAGCGCAAGTTCTCAGGTCCTCCTTTGCCTCTCATACAACCTTTCCTCGAGCCTTTGGCAGGGGCTTTCCGATTCCTTTTGGCTCCATCACCGGCGGTATCATGTTTTTCGTTGAATTCTTTCCACTTGGCGAGTCTCTCTGCTATGGAATCACATCCCTTCCGTCTTCTTCGCGATTTTCTCTTCCTTTAATGATTCAGGGACGGAACGAATAAGCAGGGTTAATACCAGTTTACAATCAACCATAATCCAATTCAGTTGTTCGGCATCCAGGAGAAGAAGAAACTAATATAAAGAGACAACGCGACTCTGCTTTCTAATTTCTAAGTCATTGCATCAATTAATGGATTTAAAAAAAATAAAAAATAAAAAACAGAAGAACAACCGAAACCCCATATTCAGATTTCACAGAAAAGCTCAAAATTTGAAGTTCGCGAAGAAGTCTAACAAACCTTCAAACCCAAATTTAGATTCACCATGTTGATGATTAGAATTATAAAGCAGATCATAAAAATAAAACAATTTCTATACAAAACGAGGAATAGGACCAAAAAACGAAGAGAAATAGAAATTACAAAGAATACTCACTTTTCTGTAATCAGCGATGACATACAATACAAGCTTGCTTTTCTTTTCTTCTCTGGTTCCTGTTCTTGTACTGTAATTGAATTGTCTTGACAAATGTTGATTTCCACCATTTATAGCTGTACCGAGATAATTAAAATAAACCCAGGAGAAATAAAATGACGTGTTGCCTTGGGATCGTGCATGTGTGGAGTTCGATCTGCTGTGGCTACTTCGCTGTGGCCATTGCAACACGTATTCAAAAGTTCATGTGAGTGTTAAACTTGTGTGACAATTATTAATTATTATTTTAATTAATTATTCATAAACATATTATATATCAATACTTATTAATAATAAATTATTAACAGATCACTGGTCTAACGTCTAACACTAAGTGATAAAAATACTACATGTTGGACACATGATGTGATTTCCACTTTCCAATAAATGAGAAAGAATATTATTTTTATTTTGTTACCATCTCACAACCAAACGTTGCCCAATGGTGACTTGTTTAGGATAGATATATGAGATTGAGGATTCATTGAGACTGTGTGTTTGGTTTGAGAGAAAAGATGGGCAAAGAAAGGGAAAGGTAGATGGGACATGGGAGTGAATGAAAAATATTGTGTGCACAGGAAAATAGCAAAGGAATTTGATAGATAGAACTAAAGGAAAAATGGCTTCATGTAGAGAGGGCTGAGAGGCTGACAAGACTACAATTGTTCAAGCCATGCCATATACACTATGGGGGTGACTGGTGAGCATTCTGCCAAAGCAGGTTGCTAAACAAAGAGATAATTGAGGCTCTTGCATGAAAACAAAGTCATTTATCCCAATCAGATAATTGAGGCTCTACAAAGCTACACACTAATGAGAACAAATGCTGCATCACCCGTGAAAGGGATGTGATGCAGCAGAGGCAGAATGGAAAGCTCTCCAAGCAAGTTCAGCTATATGATAGATCTTATAACTAGAAAAAGATAACTAAATGTACTTGGCGTGAGAAGTTATACTTTGACCAGACCTTCAACTTAGGTCCCCATCGTTTTTCGGTAAATTATTTATCCCAGTAAATGCAGTTAGTTACTTGGGTAAGCTTTTTTTGAGAAACACTTAACCAAGTAAGTGTATTTATCCATGTTCTTTTATTTCCCAAGTAAAAAAGAAAATGACCATTGTAGCCATAAAAGTCCATTATTAAGTGGGGCATTGTTGTCCCATTTAAGTGTTGGAATCTTTCCCCAATGTGAGAAGGTTATTTACCCACCTAGGAGATATTGATGGGTATCACTTACACGAGTGATACTTTTTAAAGTAATATAGATATTTTAGAAATTTTTAGGGCTATTGGTACTTTTTAAAGTAGTATAGATATAGATAATAGTATAGTATAGATGATTAATGCAATTTTAACCATCTTAATTAAAGTTTTATCAAAATACACATTTACCCTTTAGATAACTCAAGTTGAAGGGGCAACTTTTTCCAATAAAAATTCCAAAAATTATACTTCATTCACACTTTTTATAAATAGTATATATAAATATAAATTAGGATTCAACTATGAAGCGAGAAAAACATGATACAAAAAAAAAAGAAAAACTTACAACCAATCAACCAACATTATAATAAAAGTGATAACCAATAAAATGGATTTTCAAAATTTCATCGGAGTTTTGATTCATCAAATCTTTTTCAATATCATGTCTTTCCAGTATCATTGATTTTTCTTTGTTAACTATTTCTTTGAATTAATTGCTTCAGTGTACATAATAATAGAAATTAAAATATATATATATATATATAGACTACTTCAGTGGTCTATACTTTTTAGTAGACATCCATGAATATTATTTAGATTATAGAAAATTAGATATAAAGAGAGAGCTAATAATGATATAGAACATTTAGATTAGGAATGAGCTGGGCAAATTAAATGATTTATTTTTTTAATATTATTTGTTATATAATCTTGCATTTATATTTGTATTTAGCTTTTTATATTAACTAAAATTTCTAATAAAATAAATAGAGCATTGAATTAAAATTGTTCGATGGGACCAAGTAGAACCTACTGGAAACACGTGGAAAACCATGGTCCATGGGCCATTGTAACGGTCCCTGTTGTATCGGTAATCGTCGTCGTTCCTCCCACCCTCTCAAGAGTCAAGGGTTGAGACCAAGAAGCCCAAAACCTTCTCACCCGAGTAAACCATTTTTCCTACGGCTCAGTTTTGAAGGAGTACAAATCTAAATATGTTCAATATAAATACATATAATATAAAATATAAGGTTCTGCGCTTTACATATTTATATTTGTACTTCGCGGTGCATTTATGCCACTGGACAACCGCGTCGTAGCAAATTTGAACTCGTTAACCGAGTCCATACGGATGAAGCGAATCACTGTGACCACATTCTCCGATGATCTCCGCCTCTTACATTGTCACATGCCTTCTTTTACCGCTCGCATGTCACATGTAAATAAAACAACCGTCAACGTCTATCTTCTACCGGACCGATCAAACACGCAGCTCCTCTACCCATTTCTCCTCCATTAATCCAATAATCTCTCTCTCTCTACCCTGTGCATCACCTGAGGGCAAAGGAAGGCGAGCAGAGGGAGAGAATGTCGACCCACAATAGACCCTTCGTCCATGGAATGAATATTTCGGAAATAGATATACATGAAGTCATATGTGAACCAAAAGCCCTGGTCTATTCCGGAAGCATCTGGTTCGGAGGCAACCCCTTCAAATCCTTGCTTCCCATCTTGATGCTTCAAATCTTCCTGTTCTTTGCTTCCAGCCGAATGGTCCAACTCCTCCTCCGGCCTCTCAGACAGCCCAAGTTCGTCTCCGACATCATTGTAAGTAAACTTTTCGATTTGTTTCACCATGTCATGGACGTACGATCAGATCTCCTTCCTTCCATTCCTTTTATATATGGGGATTCAAATTCATATTTCGATTCTCTTGAACTAATATTCTTCTTCTTCTTCTTCAAATGGATTTGACTCTTTTTTTAATTTATCTGATGACGATGTATGTATGAATGCTATAATCTGATGAAGGGTGGCATAATATTGGGTCCCTCCGCTTTAGGGCGCAGCGAGAGATTCAACCAGATAGTATTTCCAGAAAAAGCAATGTTTATTTTGAATACAATGGCCGTAATGGGTATAGTGTACTTCATCTTCTTAATTGGCGTGAAAATGGACAAAAATTTGATATTGAATCCTCGCAAAAAGGCATATAGAATTGGTGCTATCAGTCTGGTGGTTCCTTTTGTGCTTGTGGGATTCATGTCTTACCTCTTACAAAGGCCCCTCGCAGGACTCGTCCAGGGACACTTTTTCCTCTTTCTAGCTGCATCTCTGTCCATCACCGCCTTCCCTGTTCTTGCTCTCGCCCTGGAAGAGCTCAATCTCCTGACTTCTGAGTTGGGCAAGCTTGCAATGTCCAGTTCAATGATCAACGACATGATCGGATGGTTCTTCATGGGACTCTTCGTCGCACTGCATCAAAGAAACTCAATCAACTCGTTACGAGCAATTGCATCCACCACCCTATTGATTACATTCATAACTCACGTCCTACGTCCTTGCATAATACTGATCGACAAGATAACGCCGGCGGGAAGACTGGTCGATCGGGTCTACGTCGTGGCTATACTAATCACAGTTCTGTTCCTTTCATTGCTTAGCAACATGGTCGGTGCAAGCGCAGTCGATGCTCCTCTTGTCTTGGGGATAGTTATCCCGGAGGGTTCTCCTCTGGGAGCGTCCATCGTGGAAAGGACGGAAACCGTAGTTGGGCAGATTCTTCTTCCTCTCTTCTTTGTTCGATGTGGGTTGGCCGTAGATGTGTTCAAGATTGCAGACATGACAGCTTTTGCAGCGCTTGAATTTGTCGTTTTCATGGGATACGTAGGGAAGCTTGCAGCTACTGTGTTAATTTCACTCTACTGTGGAGTCAGCATTCGACATTCTCTGTCCCTTGGTCTCATCATGAATATCAGAGGCCTGGTTGAGGTAATTACCTTCATTCATTGGAGGTCACAGAAGGTAATTCCTAACTCCCAGATCAATCGATGGAATTAAGCTCTAGCTCTATCTCTTAATTCTCTTAATTGATTACTTGTTTGTTCCATCTGCCATCGGCTCGCAGTTCATCGACGACCAATGTCTGGCTATACTGGTTTTATCGACGCTCTCAGTAACAGCCGTAGTGGTGCCCTTGTTGACCACCCTTTACAAGCCACCCAGGTATTTTGCCACACACACACACAGAGCAATCCAGAATGCCCAACCCAATGACGAGTTCCGAATCCTTGCATGCGTGCACTGTGAAGAAAATGTCTATGGCGTCATCTCCCTCCTTGAAGCTTCCCATCCAACTGAGGAAAGCCCCATTTGCGCCTATGTACTCCACCTTGTTGAGCTGGTCGGCCGATATGCAGCGGTGGTACACAAAACCGAATTGCCGAAATGCGGCAGTAAGCAATCCGACACTGATCATATTGTCAGCGCCTTCAAGAAGTACTCCGACGATTCAAATGGGACGGTCTACATCCAGCCCTTCACCGTCATCTCACCCTACAGAACCATGCACGAGGATATTTGCACGCAAGCAGCTGATAACAGGGTGGCTCTCATTATCATACCTTTTCACAACAACTATTCCAACATGGCTTCTGGGAGGTCCAGTGCTTTGTCTAACCTTAACCTAAACGTACTCGTCGGTGCACCTTGCTCGGTGGGGATCCTCGTCGACCACGATTACCGGCGGCCCGCCCTGCGTAGCCAGCACTTCTCCTATAAGGCATTGTTGATATTCTTAGGCGGAGCCGATGACCGTGAGACACTGGCTTATGCTAACCGCATGTCATATCACCCAGGTGTGAGCATCACCGTGATAAGGTTCCGATTATCGAACGGCAGTGACAACAGTGACGATTATGAGGCTGAGAAGAAGCTTGATGAGTCGGTTCTGCTCGAATTTCAATTTAAGAGCATGAACAAGCAATCTGTCTTCTACCATGAATCGGTCGCGGCGGATGAGGGGCATGTGCTTCCTCTAATTGGATCTCTGGAGGACGACTACGACCTTATCATGGTGGGCAGAAGACATAGGACCACCATGGCTGACTGGAGGGAGAGCACGGAGCTCGGGTTTCTTGGCGACAAGCTTCTGTCATCAAACTTGGTTTCCAAAATTTTCTCCCTGTTGGTAGTGCAGCGATGCGAAGCGGTGAATTCCGATCCAATAATTAAATGAAGAAACCAAACTTTGAGAAATTTTGGCTACCGTCAGTCAGTCCTTGCACCATTATATTTTGGCCTGTATATAGGTAGAACGTCAAGCTGAGAAAAAAAAAAAAATCAAAATTCAAGCCTAAGTACAGTTGAAGATGTGCGATATTATTTCCTTCGTTCTCATTCCCAATCCTCTACGGGAAACTGGAGAATATTGGAACAACTTTTATGCCATGTCAGCATGTTGACTGGATCAACCCTGTAAATTATAGACGGACAGGTGTTAGAAAAATTATTTTTTTGGTAAGCTATGAAAATTGATTTTGTGCTTACTCCGTGTGTTCACGGATTATTAGCATTTTACGATGCTTTGGGCGCCCATTCTAATTTGGAGAGAGGACAAGTTATAGACTTATAGTGCATAATAGTTCGAGTAGAGCCATAATTCCTTAATACTTAATAGCGCTTTGGGATGATGAATTAGTGGTGACAAATGGATGGGTTGGGTTGAGTTGAGTATCAACTCACCCATATTAACCCTCTAATCCATTTTTCACTCATATTTAGGTCATGTTTGATGATTAAGTACTTGTTAAAAGAAGTACATATTTAATAAGTATAAACAAGTATTTTTTAGAAGTACTTATTTTTACAACTCTTTAGGTTGTTTGATAATTCATTTTTTCAAATCACTTATTATGATTTTAAGTACTTATTGTGGTGGGGATGTTTGGTAAGTTACTTTCCTCATAAGTGCTTATTTGACATAAATGACAATTTTACCCCTCACTTCACTCATACCTACATATATATATAGCTATGTTATACATTTTAACTAAGAGTCCATGTGGACCCCACTTCATGACAACTAAGAGCCCACGTGGACTCACACGTGCACAAGTGAGAGTCCACGTGGACCCCACTTCATGGTCAGCATTATTTCTACCGTCAATGGCCCTGTATCAAGCTCGGTACACTGGCCGCCGACGTCGCGGGTACATCGATTGTCGGCCATAACCCACCCTGACCCTAACCCATCCCATATGACCCACATTCACCCAAACTGTGACATTTTTTAATTTTGTTCTATTTCATGTGCATTAAACATAGAAATATCAACTAAGAAAATATAAAAATGATAAAAAATTCAAAAAAATATTTTTAAAAATGCACAAAACACTACAAATAATAAATATATTTGATGTAAAACATAAAAAATTATAGAAAAAATAAAGGGTAAATCTCTTAAACTACCCCTACTGTTCACAAAATTGACAAACAGTACCCTTACTGTTTACATATTATCTTAAAGTACCCTTGAGTTTTCTGACAATTGACATTGCCATTAAGTGCTAATGGAATGAAACGAAATGTCAAATTTACCCTCCATTATTCCTCAAATTTCATCCCCTATTTCATCGTCTGCCTCTGCTCTCTCTCCATTCTCAGACCTCCCCCTCCGCCTCTTCTCTCTCTCTCCTTCTTTCTCCGTTTTCAAACCTCCCCCTCCACCTCTCAACCCTTGTACAAGAATAATTGTGGGGATCCTTGTGGATCGAGCTGCAATGAATAATCCCCAAATGTCGGATCGTCTGGGGACTTCAAAGATCAACCTCACGCTGCTTTCTAGCAAATATGAGCCTCTATTGATTTGGTGGGATCATCGACAATGAATACAGCAAGCACACACTCTCCGATGTATCGTACCGAAGAAAAGACAACACCTAGAATCATGGAATGCCCTCCTTGTTTGGTGGAATGCCCGAAGAGCTCTAACAACACTTTGTTGTACTCTGTAAGATTTCGTCCATCCACAAGCTGCTTTCCAGCAAAAATAAGCTTCTTGTTGTCCATCCTCAAGCAGCAGCGGTGATGAAAAAGGGGCAAGAGGAAATGGGGGAGAGAGAGAACGAAGGGGAGGAAGAGAGAGAGAGGGAGGGAGCCCTTCATCGGTGGTTGTCATCGCCTGCGACGGCTGTGCCAAGAGGGAGAGAGAACGAAGGGAGGCTGCTCGGTGCAGGCGACGAGCCCTTCGTTCTCTCTCCCTCTCGGCACAGTCGTTGCAGGCGACGACAACCACTGGTGAAGGGATCCCTCCCTTTCTTTCTTTCTTTCCCTCTTCCTCCCCTTCGTTCTCTCTCTCCCCCCATTCCCTCTCGCCCCTGTTTCAGCACCAACGCTGCTGCAACTTGCAGCAACAGCGAACCCCTCCACGCACTCGGATACAGACGACCAGGTCCCTTCCCCAATATCTCTCTCATCTTCCCTCTATATTTCCTCTTCTTCTTCTTCTCTTTCTCCTTCCTCTGCTTTTCCTTCCTCCATCTTCATCTATGTTCATCATCTTCTTGACGGTGAATAGAGAACTACCATCAACATCATCATAGCCAAAAATGGCGGCGGCCACTGCTGTTTTGCCCGGAGACTGCTCGACACAAGTGACAAGCCCTTCGTTCTCTCTCCCTCTTAGCACAACCGTCGCAGGCGAAGGGCTCCCTCCCTCGCTTTCTCTCTTCCTCCCCTTTGTTCTCTCTCTCTCCCCTCATTCCCTCTCGCCCCTGTTTCATCACTATCATTGTTGCAACTTGCATCAGCTGTGGACCCCTCCACGCACTCGGATATAACGGCCAAGTTCCTTCCTCGATCTGTCTCTCCTCTTCCCTCTCATTTTCCTCCTCGTCTTCTTCTCTTTCTCCTTCTTCCTCTGCTTCTCCTTCCTCCATCTTCATCTGTGTTCATCGTCTTCTTGACAGTTAACAGAGAACAACCACCAACATCATTGTCTTTCGACAAATGCCGATGGTTGTCAGCTAACTACAATTCATCATCCAACGAGAAGGTTCCTGAGAATGTTCGTAGCAGACAGAGGCCAGTTTTGGGTTGGCGAGAAGGAAAGAGGGTCAACTCTACCACCGACGACCATGTGGTCGTCGTTGCCTACGATGATGATACCAAAATCACGCCACCGCTGCAACTTCCAACAACAATGATAAACAATAAGGCTATTTTAGGAATTTTAAAATAATTACCACTCACATGATGTCACATTTGAACGGAGTGTGACGGAAAATTAACAGCAATGGAGGTTTTAGACAATTGTTAGAAAACTTAAGGGTATTTTAACACAATAGCTAAATAGTAAGGTGGAGTTTACCAATTTCGCAGACAGTAGGTAGGGGTGGATTCAAGCCGAGCCGAATACTACCAGGCTCGAGCTCGAGCTAGAGCTCGGTTCAAGCCAAAACCTTGAGCTCGAGCTCGGCTCGAGTAAAAAATTCATAAGCTCGAGCTCGATTTTGAGAAAAAATATTTTATAAAAATAAAAAATTATATATATAAATATTTTTTATATGATATTAAAAAATTAAGAATTATAATAATTAATAATTATAATATTTTTATTTTATATATATTATTTTCTATAATTTTATTATGTATTATATATATTAAATATCATATATATATATATATATATTCGAGCCGGCTCACGAGCCGAGCTCTAGTAGGCTCGAGCTCGATTGAAACCGAACAGCTCGTGAAAAGCTCGGCTTGTTGCCACCCCTAGCAGTAGTGGTAGTTTAAGAGATTTACCCAAAAATAAAAAGTTTAAATTAAATTTACCATTTCTCATAAAAACAGAAAATTGTAAAAAACACAAAAGTGGCAAATATTAAAAAAAAAATACAAAATTCATAAATTTAGAAAAATAGAAATTGCAAAAAACCAAAGAAATTATAAAAAATATTGAAAAAACAAAAAATTGCAAATAAATAACAAAAAATATAGGAAAATGTAGCAAAAAAACAACAAAAATTATGATACATTTAGAAAAACTATAAAATGCAAAGAAAATACAAAAATTATGGGAAACACAAAAAAAAATGGAAAAATATAAAAATTTAGGAAAAAACAAAAATTATAATAAAGCAAAAAATGCAAATAAATAACAAAAGTATAAGAAAACCAAATGTAAAAAATGTAGAAAATCTTTTGAATTTTTTAATACAAGAAAACAAAACATAAAAATGTAGGAAACTTTTTTATGGAAGTTTCCATCAATTTTTTTAAATTAATAGAAATTTTTGAAAAAAAAATATATAAAATATATAAAAAATGAGAAAATATATTGCATGTGGTGCATCTGTTTTGCGAACACATATCTATCTTCATAGAGGAAGACAATGAACACAAATCTGGATTTAAAGCAGATCTAGTATGATCTCTTCAATCTATGTGTATGCAAACCCAAATCTCTAAGGAGAAGAAGAAGAAGAAGAAAGGAAAACAGAGAGAGAGAGAGAGAGGAGGAAGTGAACAATCGCCGGTGATTTTGATGGCCAACTACTGAGAACAACAGCTTCCTTCTCCCCTCGACCTGGCGATTGGCGAAATAGAGAAAAGATTCCACCCCGACGCTTTTTCTTGGATTTTCAACCCTTCCCTCAGCCCAACTTATGACCCTAACTCTTTACAACCTAATGAGTACCCTCGACCCAACCCAAATTGACCCTTGTCCCCCAACCTAAATGGATGTCTCAACCCATAATGACCCACATCTTAAATGGGTGGGTACGGGTAGGTTTTTAAGTGGGTGGATTGAGTGGGTCAGATGGTTTGGGGTACATTGCCACCCCTAATGATTAGGGTGCAGTCTGGCATCAATTATGATTTCTTGAAAATCACTACAATGAGTCGCATCAACATTAGAGGAATCGACATTGAAATTTATGTTTTATTGGTTGACTTTGATGATTTTCAAGAAACCGGCTAAAAATCAATTCTTGACTCAAATGGATGACTCAACTCATAATGACCCACATCTTAAATGGGTAGGCATGGGTAAGTTTTTAAGTGGGCGGATTGGGTGGGTCAAATGGGTTGGGGTCAACATTACCACCCCAATGATTAGGATGAAGTCTCTCTCTCTTTGATCACAAGTCATTGATGATACAGAACCCATGATGACAATACTCAATCACAGAGCTTGTACTATTAACCTTATCAATCAATTATACAGATGTATAAATATTTACAAAGAAGATACCCACCGGCATATATCCACAAATTAGTTTCCAACAACTCACAAGAGAAGAGAGACTAACATTAATAGTCAATGGGAAAAATTAAAACCAGTGAAACAGGAGATTTCCGAAAATTAAAAAAAAATGCAATTTATAAAACCTAACAGAAGTTACCACTCGTATACTTAAAACCTGTAACAGGGGCTTCATCAAGTCATCTGGCCAACAAAACCCCATATTTCGACAGCAACAGAAGGCTGCTACAGACGTTGCAGAACTGCATCGTCAAACCCACCAATGGAGGATTGTGATACGTCCCCCATTAATACATATCTGCATTATTTTGATGCATCACAGCTGACCATCATAAGAATCGGTGCCATCAATTGACATTTTCATAATCAGAGACCAGAAGACACTAAAACATTGTGTTCATTCAAACGCCTCTGAAAATGAGCCAAGCGGGTCTGCAGTTGTAAAATTCCAGCTGCCTTCTGAGAAAGAATAGTGTTGAGTCTCGAGATGTAGTCATCCAGTTGATTTCCCGGTTGATCAGATTCCACCAAAAGCTTCATCTCCTGAAACAAACACATAAATAAATCAAAATCAAGTATGATTACCCCAGAAAGATAAAAGAAGCCAACTAAGGATATTTTCTTACCTCTCTAACAATATCTAACGTCTCCTCCACCTGCTTCCTGTGAGCACTAACAAGATCTTCCTCTTCCTACTCATGAAAAATATACACATTTGAAAGAAGTCCCAAATGAAAAACCAAAGTTTGATACTTAGCCATGCTTTTTACCTCCAAGAGGGCATTCAGGTCATCATCTGATTGTGAATTGTTAGAATCAAAGCCTGGTGGATCCTTCCATTTTTTCAGGTTATCTGTTTTCTTGCTGGTCCTGTTCTCAACAGTTGAGTTCTCGTGTCTCTCCATCCTTCTATTCTTCTTCCAAACTGGCTTCTCCTGTTCATACAACTCCTGGGATAGATCAAAATCCTCTGCAGTAGTGCCACCTCTCCCACCTTTATGATCTTTAGAGAAATCGGAACGTACAGAAAGGCCTTCATCCCTTCCACTAGGTGCACGGTCCATGTTAAAAGGAGGAGAAGGTTCTCTCTCAATCTGTTTTGACCATCCAAATCTGTTGGTTTCATTGGGAAGATCAGAGATGTTACTCTCAAAAGTTGAAACATTGGGTAAAACTGAAGATAGGGGCAAAGCAGTTGAATCCCTCAAGTTTGTTGACGACACAGGATCCTTTTTGGAGCTGCTCCCCTTTGAAAGACTCTTAACCCTGATGAATAAGCATTTATTAGATATGCAGTTACTAGGAAAAGGGTAAAGATATTCCTATATCAGCAAAATATCACAAAGCTATGTCACCTGTCAGCATATCTTAATGTATTCAGAGTGTGTTCACATGATCCTGAGTTTGGAGAAATGCATGATATCATTACAGTGCGTGAGTCCCCAACAAATGAATCCCTAAGAACTTCAGTTAGTTTGCTCCCCCTGAAAGGGATGTGTCCTTGGTCATTGTCAAGAGCACGAATGCATTCCTTCAATGCAAGCAAGCTTTTATTAATTTCAGCACCTTCCATTCTGCACCATTAGCATACAAAACGAGTGTATTAAACTTAAAATCACTGACACCAAAAATAAAGGGACAACCAAGAATGTGGTAGATAACATTCTATAACCAAGTTAGTACAAGGGGGATGAGACCCACAAGATCGCTCCCAATTCTCACTGGCAAAATTACACTCACTCAGAAAATTCCTCTCCAATACAAGTTTTCAGAATTTCAACAAATTTTTCCAACAAGAGATGAGAAGACTAGATAGCATACACGACGAAAGTAACCCTATGCATTTTATGGGGGTGTTCGACAACATGATTGGTTTTGTTTTTGAAAACAAAAAACAACTGCCACATCAGCAAAAACAATACAATTTTGCTGATATGGGGCAGTTTTGGTTTTCAAAAACAAAACCAATCATGTTGTCAAAACACCCCCTATATTTTCTCGTCTCAAAAATTTTCTAGATGTTGACTCAACAGATGGCAAGTCCATAATACAACACCTGAATCAGATGTATTACCATGCATCTGGTTATACCTTCTAGTTACTTAAGGGCAAACCCTGAGTCCATAATACAACACCTGCATAGCATGCACTACCATGCATTTTGTATACTTTTGTGTCAGTCATCCCAAGAGATACCTGCAGGGCTCCTCAAAGTGAGGCCAGATCTTCTAGTAACAAACAAAACTAGGCACATCATAGGTTTGTACCACTTTTCACGATACTTGAGAATTTTTAGAAATTAATATGAATAAATGCATCATGCTCAAATATTGTGGATAGATAGCACAAACCTATGATGTTACTACATACAAGCATTGTTTGTTACAAGCAGATCTGCTCCCCCTCAAAGCATAATAGAACCAAAGAAAACCTTACCTTGTCTGCTTATCATAATATGAATAAATGCATCATGCTCAAATATTGTGGATAGATAGCACAAACCTATGATGTTACTACATACAAGCATTGTTTGTTACAAGCAGATCTGCTCCCCCTCAAAGCATAATAGAACCAAAGAAAACCTTACCTTGTCTGCTTATCATTATCCGTAGTATCTGCGCCACGTTCACTTCCAGCAAGATCTATGAAGGAGAGCTTCCCAACCACACGGGCAGGCTTTGATTCACTGCCATCAGATGACCTTTTGATAGCAAGCTGCAGTATCGCATGTGAGCGGGAAGATTCCTCATTGGCACCAGTTGTACCTGTACTTCTGGTAGCATTTCCTTTCTCAATGAACTCTCGGATTGCCTCGACATTTGATACCCTGTACTCTTGCAAACCCACAATACACACTTGCTGCTTACCATCTTCTCTCATGCAAAGCTTTCTGCAGAAGTAAAGTTCTAAGTCAAGCAACTAAATTTTGTAAATGTTTGCTAGCAAAATATTGAAATTAAATCTTACCTCCGGTCATTAAGGAGGTCAAAAAGTTTCCCACCATATATCTCAAAGAAACTGACAAACAACTGAAAACCTTGATTCCGGTATGTGTGATGCATTAAGCTCAATATATCCCGGGATGCTTTCAGGGGCAGTGGTTGCATGGTATAAGTCTTCCCACTCCCTGAATGAGAAAGAGGCAACCAAATCAAGCTTATACATTACGATTGTTTGGTGTGAATTTTCAAGTTAAATATGGCAATATTTTTGCAACTCAGATGTATCAACTATATAAAACCATAGGCAATAAAAAGGTTTCAGCTATTTCAGGGCTAAACAAGACAAAACAACTACACGGAAAATTAAATTCCACAAATTGGAACAGAACAGAAGAGTACATTAGCAACCATATTATGCTTTCACCTAGGGGTGGCAACGAGCTGAACTTTTCACGAGTTGCTTGAGCTCGGCTTGGCTCAATTTCAACTGAGCTTCGAGCCGAGCTTGAGCCCAATTCACTAGCTCGATTATGAAACGAGCCGAGCTCGAGCATACTAAAGCTCGGCTCGTGAGCCAGCTCAAATATATATATATATATAATAAAAATATTATAATTCTTAATTTTTTAAATATCAAATAAAAAATATTTTTATATATAATTTTTTATAGAACATTTTTTCTCAAAATCAAGCTCGAACTCGAGCCTTGTAGAATAGTCTCGAGCCGAGCTCAAGCCTCGTACTATTCGGATTGGCTCGGCTCGAATCCACCCCTACTTTCACCTCTCAAAACACAAGTAGGATGAAGAAAATTAATAACACCCTATAAAGCAACCACACATAAAGGTTTCAGCCATTTCAGACCATACATCATCATCATCATCTAATCCTTGTCACAATTATATGGGATAAGCTACATGAATCCTATTTCACCATTCCATTCTCGTTAGTGTTACATACATTGCTAAATTATAGGTGCTTAAATCATTTCATACTACCTCAGTCCACGTCCTTTTTGGTCTAACCCTAGGCCTTCCAGCCCCTTCAACATGCACACATTGATGTGATTTTCTTACACCACAATTCCAAGGAAAAACAATTTGATGTAAATGTACAAGCACTTTTCAAGATTGAAGAAATTGATGTGAAAAAATGCATTTGCTTATCCAATACATGAAATATAGCTCTGTAAATTGTTCAAAACCTAGAATGTTTTGAAGCATAAATATAAAGCAAATTTAAGATAACCACTTGCCTGTTTGCCCATATGCAAAACAAGTTGCTTTGGTCCTTTGGAAAATAAAAGGGACAATGGGCTCCACTGTCTCACAATAGACCTGTAGAAAAGAACACAAAAAGAAAAATACACCAAGGAACAAATTTTAGATCACTAGTATGATCAGGGACAATGGAAGGAATACTTTTTGCACTCACTTCATCATTTGTAACCTCCTCATTCAGTACTGCATCAAAAAAAAATTCATGTTTCTCAACATACTCTGTCAGATCAACCTACAAAAAATAAGAAATTATGATCTGGAGAATGCTGGTATCAAAATTGGGATGGGGAACTTATCATGGAGAACTACAAGCTTCTAAATTATCACAAAGCAAATGTGCGGAGTTGAGAGCCAAGTCAAAGTTTTTCCAATAGTTAAAAGCAGATAGATAGAGAAACATTGGGGAGGAAAGCCAAACAAGGATATCAAATTTGGCAATACAAGTATCTTGCGTATAGGGACTAGGGTCACCAAAGAAAGTGATGATGGTATTTGAATTTTCAACACTCCATTGCTTATCATGACTCCAAAAACCAACAAAACTCTAACAGCCAACCCTACATTTCAAACTATAAAAACCCCCACCATGTCATCAGAGGCTTATGTGGTTGTTGCCAATATAGGACTCTTAATCCATGTTAGACATAGCAAAAACCCTATACCAAAATCAAAACATCTCTCTCCCCCTCCCTCCCTGACAACCAGCTCTATGTTCAACATGGATTAAGAGTCCTATGTTAGAAATAGCCACATAAGCCTCCGATGACGTGTGGTTTCTCAAAGAACCATTCAACCTAAAAGCTTAAGCTGTTAGATGAGGTCCTTGAATAGGTTGATATTCTCCAATACGTCCCTTCACACGAAAGCCCATTGGGTTTGAAGTGTGGACAAGCACAGGCCCACCCATACCTTGTGCTGAAACTTAATTAATTATAATGGGGGCAATGAGGATCGAACATTAGACCACTTGGTCAAAGTGGCTCTGATACCATCTCAAAGAACTATTCAACCTAAAAGCTTAAGCTGTTAGGTAAAGTCCTTTAATAGGTTGATATTCTCCAATAGTTTTTATAATTTGAAATGTACAGCCGGTTGTCAGAGGTTTGTTGGTTTCAGGACCAACCTACAAACTATATTTAAATGTACAACTAGCTCAGACTATAATTTTCCCAAAAAAAAAAAAACTTTTCAAATTTCATTGCAACAAATTATTTGACTGATATAGTCCAGTTTTCTTGTCTTTGAATCATAAATAAGGCACTTCTAAGAAAAAATCAATCAAATGAACTTAAAGATGCCTAAACAAATATATTAGTACATTCAGAAACATGGCAAATGCACCTGAGTCGGTAATTTACTTTAAACATTTATACAGTGAACATGAAAAACAACTAAGAATTAGTCTTGTATATTTTCGATGGAATTTGAAAAGACATCACAATATATTCTAAGGATAAGACCTGGTCCCAGTTACTTGAACTATGCCCAGCCACATTCCTTCCACTGTACGAAAATGACAAGATGACTTACAATCTACACCATAATCAACTTGAAAGGAAGTTAATACTTAAAAGTGACTTCAAGGTTTATAGGTTATATTTTTATTGGTAGCAGATCAAGAGATTTTATTGATGTAAGACTTGTGAAGGTACAAATCTGACAAAGCCAGCTCCTTCCCATCAGTTGGGAGAGGAGACAAGAACAATATAGACTGACAACTAGAAATATGTCAACATATGAGTTTCAAGGAAGGGAACAAAAGCTATAGCATTTTCAACTGACAAAGTAATGTTACATAAATTAGTTGCTTGGCTTTAAAATTGCAGCAAAATGGAATATTGAAATCTGAAGTTTAATTAGATCTTATTGGGACAAGAACTTATTTTTATGTCTGAATTTGACTCTGAAGTCTGATAACAACTGTGTTGGAGTTCTTGATCACAATGGCTATTGCAGTTTCTTCCATTTAAGCTTGAGTATTAAGATGTTCTTGTCATTATAAATGTTTTAAAAAGTGAAAAGAGTAAAGGAAACATTTGTGTACCACTAATAAGGGATAAATGGTGACTCTCAGAGGTGTAACAAAATGCACTGAAAGGGAAAAGACCAGTTATCTTATAAATTTTGACATAGGTGGCAGTATTTCAGACTTCAAAACACTACCCAAATGCCAATATCCCTGGCTGAGCACCTTAACCCTGATATAGCATTCGCCGCATTCCCAAAATCAGTATGGTCAGGTAAAGGTGAAAATAAATTAATATTAGAAAGATAAAGCCCAAGAGGTTCCTAGAGCCGAAGGTGCAAGATGAGGTGCCACTTTTGAAAACAAAAAACATATAAGTATATGCAAACTAAATCCTAATGAACATAGAATAATTTAGAAGGCCAATGAACTAAATAACAAAGAAAATGCAGCATATGCTCATGTGACACTACAATTCCAATTACAATCAAGTCAAGCATCAGCAAGATACAACTGCATTTTCCAGGTCTTACATAGGCTAAAATTCAAGCTGAATACGGATGCAAATCTCAGTTACTGATTAAGTATAGTTGAACAGAAGAAACTCACTTTTTTTATTTTGATAAATAACAGCAGAAACTCACCTTGAGCTTAGTCTCATGAACTGTAAGAGAGCTAGAATTTAGCTCTATTGTTATGATGTCTTCCTCCTTCTTTGCTAGTTCCTTTTTATTAAGTGGCCTCTTACGGACCTGCATTCAAATCATCGGCATCGCTTACATTATTTGATCAAACAATTTGCAAAAGAAGCCATTTTGCTAAAGTAAAGCAGTCACAGTGTGATAGATTTAATATTCTACGCAGAATTGACCATTTGATGATGTCAGCTTAGTTCAAATTGAAATTTGAAAGTATTCTAGGTTTATCTAGTTGACCACCCACTTAGGGAATCGAGCATTTCTAAAACCCATTTCTTACCAAGAGGATTAACAGACAAATGTAAGAGTTCAAAGAGCAACAAAGGGTATACCACAACTTTGATCTTGGCAACAGAACTGAGCTTCTCCTTATCGGCTGTAAAGCTTTTAAGCAGATTATTCTCTGCCAAACCACGAACTTTGGTGGTTGATTTGTTGGTAGAAAGATAAGGCTCAGATTCATCAAAGATTCTTCCATGAACAGAATGATAAATAGAGGAGCCATCATACAGACCAGGAACTGCCATCTACCAATGAGAAAAGAAAAACAAAATGTGTCAGCAGATCTCCCAATTTTCATGGAATTTCCAAAACATAAATGGCCAGAAACCAATGTCAGCTCTGAAGAGCAAAACCTAAATCAGCATGTAAAATGATAATTCAACCAAATATGCCATGGATTCTTTGAGTAATATTTCCCTCACTGCTAAATGTTTCAATCTAGAAGTTTGGCCTAATTTTTCAATAAAACGGTGTAATTAAATTGACAAAATATAAATCAAAAAGTAGATGAAAACCATAGCTATGAAATGAATTACGCTTTCTAATAAATGCAACAAATTCATTACCTCCAAATATCAAAATCACAAAAATTTAGATTCACTGTGAAAAAAAAGAAAAAGAAACAAGCATAAATCAAATCAGTAATTTTTTTCTTTAAAAAAAAAATCAAACTGTCAAGGGCAAGACTGAGCAAAGATCGGGAAAGACACAAGCTATATGATGTAAAATCAGAACATCCGATCGGGAATTCAATACAAAACTGGCAAAGCAGGATAAAAATCAAATCTTTGGACAAGAAAATCCTCATAACAAGGTAAGTTGCTTACTTCAGGAGAAAGCCAAGAGACTTACCTCTGGAAGTAGCTCAGTGTCGAAGGAATGCAGATCCAGGATTCCAGGGCTGAATTCATTTGGCGACACATGATCTTCGCCGTTCTTCCTCAAGCTCGACGACCGCGAGTTAACAGGAGGAGTCGAAGGTTCGGAGAACAGCTCATTCCCTCCATTAACGCTCCTCTGAGCATTCCAATACATCTTCGACCCCTGCACTCCTCCTCCACCTCCACCGCCACCAAAGTAGCCATAGTCCTGTTCTCGGTCCAACAATAAAAGAAGCAAAAATCAACGATCGGCATCTAAAACATCAATTGATGTACTCAATGTGTGTCGAAACAAAAGAGAAAGGAGATCATGAACCTGCAGGCCAGGTAAAGTTGCATTTGAAGACTGAAGGTGCTGGAGACTAGCAGATTGAAACCATCCTCCATTAGAGGAAGTCTCTAAGAAGTTGTCAGAGAACTGACGCTGGTGGTGTACGGTCGAAGCACCAGATCTCTGCATCTGTCTCCCGACTGCATGCATCTCTCCCGCCTCTACTTGTCGATCCGATTAGAGCGTCTCACTCTCGGAATCAGAAGTCAATCTCAATTCTTGATTTTTAAAGGAAAAAAACACGTTTCCACCGGCATGAACTAAACGACAAACCTTTCAAATTTTCAAACGATTTAAAACAAATGAAGAGAGAGAGAGAGAGAGTCAGAGGCAGAGACAGAGAAAGGAGCAGAAACTCCGGTATTCAGAGAGCAGAATTCCTTTTCTGGTCTGATATTTTGAAAGAAGCTTCAATGGAGGTTGTTCAGTTTGTCTGAAGTTTTTGAAAAATAACTAAAAAAATAATAATTCTTGGGCTAAATCTGTAAATCAGCAGCAATGAGTGATACACGAAGAAATGGATTTCAAACTTTGAACGGTAAGGAAGGACTGATTCGAGACGGGATCTGCTCCTCACACAGCGGCGCCTCACAGATACATCCACCATGCATTGGAAACATCTCCCGTGTACCCAGTGCATCGTAACTCGTAAGATGTGCTGTGAGGTCGGTGTGGAGCGCCTTGTATAAGGAGCAGATCCGGTCTCGACTAATCCAACTCAAATAGAATATAGTACAGAGACCAGTAGAGAAGGTAATAATCCTCTACCAACTAAATGCTTCCAACAAACGTTAGCACATCTCCCATGTCATTCATTCATAGGCAATTGGGAGCGTTTTTTTGATGGATCAGAGAGTGGCACGCGTGAGTTAGACAAGTCACGTGCGTCCCTAAAATTATAGCCGGAGGCTCGGAGGGAGATCATATTGGCGCCCGCGGATACTCCAGTGACTTCACAGGACATTACAACCGTGTATTGAGAACATCTCTTGGTTACAAATACGAGAGATGCTTTCAATGCACGCGAGATGTGCATGTCGGGCGTCTCTGGGGCGCAAATGTGGACTCGCCCGGAGCGCCGGAGAGGGCCAAAGTGAAAAACGATGAGCATCAGGACCCACTCGCTTTTCACGAGGTCTCGCCTGTTTCGTACCACGTGGTGGACCTCGACTCGTTTTCCTCATTCTCTGTTCATGTACTAAAAGCAATAGTATCTTCCTATTCACACTTGGATCGGAATCCTGTGTCCTGTAGATTAAAATCTTGAAGCTAAAGATTCCAGTCCAAGGTATCGAATAGAAGGGTCTTATAAACGTATATGTATATTACGATGCATCGAATGGCGATTACCTCACGTGCCGGCCACCTCAGTCTCAGACAACTCATTCAAGTTTTGTGAGAGAATGAGGGAGGCTGATAGCCTGAAATATTAGAAACGTGGCGTGATCGAAGGGTAAGACAAATCAGAATCAGGAAGAAATCTGTGGTCTACTGGACTAGGGAAGTTTATCTGACTTCTGGGTAACATGAAGCCGTAAATAGGATTCGACCGTCCACGTGTTCCAGAGGTTTGATCTGAAATAAGATTTTGGTCTGGCCACATGGCAGAATCCAAAATTGATTAGATCCTAGGGACGACAAACAAATTTACTGATGATGTGCATAGACGTTGGACCATGGAGATGGGCAACGGACTTTTGTTTGTTTGCAAGCGGGAAAGCTTTTGTTTGAAACTTTGAATCAGACGGCGTATAGACGTTGAATAAGGAAAAATTCCTGCTTTGATTCTCAAATTTTCAAAATGTGTTAATTCAGTATATGTTGTTAATCAGTTGTAAAGTGATATTTTGAAAAAGATACAAATATTTTTCGAATGTCATCTATTTTTCATTATCAACCAGCGGTGGCAAAAATAAATAAATAGTCCCAAATATTTGTCTCTTCTATTTAAAAAAATGGAGGGTCATGAAAATGTCCATTGAGACATGATCCCAATTTTCTTGAATAGAAGAAGTAAGAATTTGGGATTATTTATTTTTTGTCAATGTTTAGATGGTTGATACAGAAAATTAAAAGCCGTAAATAGGACTTCTTGAATAGATGTCCTATTTATTTGATGTCCACTTGTTCTAAAGGTTTGATCTAAATTGATTAAATCATATGAACAACAAACAAACTTTACTGGATGAGGTGCATAGACGTTGGAGCATGGAAATGGGCAATGGACTTTTCTTTGTTTGCAAGCTGGAAAGTTTTTGTTTCAAACTTTGAACCGGAGGGCATAGAGCTGTAGAATAATTAAGGTTAATTTACTAGAATACCCCTACAATTTCATAGATTTTACTTAAATCTATCCTATAGTTTGCATTTTGCTAAAATACCCTTTAGGTAGCATTTGTTTGCAATGTAAAACCTCATCAATGTAAAAGTCCATCGACGGAGTTTTACACTAATAGTTTAAAATCTCTGAACCGTTGAGCTACGAAAAATCGTATATGTTTACAATGATAATCGATGTAAAACTCTACTATAAGTGAGGTTTTACATCGACTTGTGATGTAAAACTACACTCCATCCAAATGCCGACAAATCTGAAGCGGGTGGAGTTTTACATCGGTCTTGATTTACACTACAAACAAATGCCAACAAAACCAAACCGGTGGTGGACTTTTACATCAATGAGGTTTTACAAACGCAAACAAGCGTGCCCTTATAGTTTACAACCTATGTACTTAATAGACCTTTCATTCATAACTATTTGTTTTATCATATGAAAATAGTAACATGATCACCTAAACTAAGTGGAAAATGTTTAGGTGCATCAACCCATGATTGTTTATTTCCAAAAATACCCTAACACTTTTTTGTAAACACAACAAAATTGACCAAATAGAGAAAAATAAAGTGGTTATCTGTGTTATACTAGGGGCAAAAATGGAATTTTAGTTTTAGTCTCTTTTGATTAAATTAATTTTAATGTATTTTAGTGTTAAAACTATCATTTTCCACTTTCATCTAATGGAAGGTCAATTAAGTAAATTGATTGAAAATTATAAAGGGTGTTTTAGTAAAGCACAAACTATAGGGTAGGTTTTAGTAAATTCATTAAAATATATTAGTGTTTTAATAAATTACCCAATAGGGTAATTTTCTTAAACTACCCTTATGATTTAGCTAATTGACTAAGTATACCCCTACTATTTTACTATTGTCTAATGCTACCCCTATTATTTTGAAAAATTACCGTTGCCATTAAAATATTGACGGAAGGGCTGAAATATCCATTTTGATCTTAAAGCTAAGTTTGGATGGAGTACAAATGCAAATATGTAGAGTGCAAAACCTTGTATTTTCTATTATTTTGTATGTATTTGTTAGACAATGTATTCCATTATCTCCAATCAGATTGATGTATAGATGCATTTATTGTAAATGAATAAAAGTACATTATTGTTTATTGTTAATATTGGTATATTTCTGTGAAATTACACCTTAAACTGAACACTTATAAGACTCGTGTTAGTTTAGAATGTTCTCAGTCATTGGATAGACTTTGAGAGTTTATACTGTCAAGGTTGACACTGATGTACTGCCAAAGAATATGTAATGTGTGTTTGGTTGAAACACTAAACCAAAACCATTTTCTAGTTGATGGGAAAAACTAAAAAGTTACATATAACCCCTAGACTTAATTATTGTACTACACTAGATGTTGGATTAGGTTGTCTTTGTTATGCCAATCAATGAGATCCATTGAAGGTCAAAACCTGGGTATGTTGGGATAGTCTAAGAATTCATTTGAGTTGGTGATCATAATGATAGGATTAACTCCTTTATCGAACAAAGTGAATGATAAGACTTCACTCTCTCTAATGAAAACCTAAACTATCAACAATAGATCTCAACTGCGTTTGAGATTTGGTTTTGCAAACCTATCGGAGTGGTTTTCCGGTCCCCACACTAGGACACCAATATGATCGTAATAATGAAGAGATGCACAACGACAAGCAAAGCATATAGAGCCTTAGTGCACTGCTTGCAACACTACAGTCCGCCTTGTCCGAGCACCTCCCATTTATATCCACCTCTCTTATCTCATTTCCTTTTGTTAGATTTTTCTTTCTCCTCATTTTCAATATGTGTGTGTGTGATAAATGTTCTCTCCTGAAACCATATAAACGAGTTATAGGGAATAGTTGGAATGTAAGCTCAAGACTCGAATAAATAGTTGAAAGAAAAGAGGATTGTGTAGAGGCCTCTCTTAATCTTCCTATGTTTGTTTCTGTCTCTTCTACCCTACTAAATTAAAGTTGTTTGTTTCTTTTCTTTCGAGGTGGTGGTTTTTGTGCTTCGGGCTTTTCAGTTAAATTCGAGCCCTGAATTCTAACACTTGAAGAGGGTTCGAAGGTTCGTTTTTTGGTGAAAGTGGGAACATACGTTGTGGAGGAGTTCGTTTGAAGTGAATGCAAAGTGGGATAACCTAGTGTTAGCTTTTTGTGTAGGGAAATTGATTCGGTTTGGTTGGTGATGAAGGGAAATTTGGCTCGACCTCGCGATCGCCCGACGCGTGGCAAAGGCAAACAGCTCGGGACAGTAGAGCACCCAAAGCGAACATCGGAAGCAAGTCCAAACTCACTACCGAGCCTCAACTCCAGATCGCTGTGTTTAGTCCGAGCT